AAAGTTTTGCCTCAAATTTTGTACCGATCCTAATTCTTTCCCTTTTTCGGTCTAAGGCCTGATATTACTTCTGTACTCCACAAATATTCTTTTAATGCTAACAATAAAGATTCTTATTTTTGTACTGCCATTCCATATTGATCCTAGATACTCCCAAGACAAATATGAAGTTAACCAATGCTATGAGGTGTTTTTTGACAGTGTGTGTGTTGGACTGCAGGTTTTTATTTGATCACTGGCCGGTTCTATCAGCTTAAACAACCACTGAAAACTTTATCAGTGCTTTGTCACAACTCTTTCAGAATGAAACTCTTTTGTGTGTGTACTTGCATTTCTATCTTTGTGAGGACCTGAATATTTGACCTAATAAAGTGAGGACCGATGTGTACTTGTATTTCTATCTCTGTGAGGACCTGAATGTTTGACCTTGTGGATTGAGGACATTTTGGGGTTAAGACTTGGTTTTAGGTTATGGGGCAAGGGTTGAGGTTAGGTATTTAATTGTGATGGTTAAGGTGAAGGTGAGGGTTAAGAAATGCATTGTGTAAATTAGAGTCCTCACAAAGACAGAAACACAAGTATATGTGCGTTTGTGTGTGAGAGACTATCAACTGTTTCAGTATTTGTCCAGAGACCATTATCAATGTTGTGGTTCTCTTCTCACTGTTTTTAGTTTTAAATGCATAATAGAAGAGCAATGAAGTTTGGGCATCATCAACCAGCTAGTTCTTCTGTCACTCGAAAAATGTGAATCTCGATTATGTTACTATACAAGAAAAACTGTGCATTGCTGGTGTGTACAAGGTAAAACTGTCTCTCCTACTTTTTTTAAATGTGCAAGATGCTGCATTTCAAACCAGGGTTTTTCTGCCTGAATATTTTTCAAAGATATAACAAGGCTCTTGTCTGAAGGAAAGATAATTGGATTTCAAGATTGCAATGGGGAATTCTGTCAGCTGTCATACAGGCTTTGAGTGCTCACGATCAAACTGGTTGTGCTGTACAGCTGAATGCATATGGCATGCTTATGTATCATCCATGCCAGAATACATCTATTACCCTGCCCTGCCAATTCTTAAAGGAGTAACTGGTAACAATAGAACAAAGTACTCCAAAAACTCGAACTGTAATTTCACCATGAGTGTTTGCCACCAAAATATGCAATACTCAAATGCGGTTACTGACATTCAAAGCTAAAAGAAATCTTCAAGTGTACACAACCACAACATCCAATGTGTCTCTTTACAAATACATCTGATGCTCTCTGAGACGTAGGCACAAAGAAAATAGCTGCAGTATGTACGTTCATTATATAACTACAATGAGTTTATCATTGAGGCCTCTGTGTTGTACGTGCAGGAGATTGCATGCTAGACGACAGTTTTCGGGAAGATGCCATCCTTTCGAGAGGCTTCTTCCCATTGGGAGACTTGAGACTTACGTCAGAAGTGGAAGACTTGGACTTGCCTACATTTAGTAGAGTGCGACTGAGAGAGCTGGGGGGCTTGGAAGACTCTTTTGTCTTTGACTTTGTCTCTGTGGATGTTTGAGATGACACAGCATCTCCTGCCTTTCCGTTCTCAGCACTGATTTCCTTGGCTTGACCATTTTGCTTGCACGTTCTCTCTGAGGACTTTTTAGCAAGCAAGGTGCTTTTTCCCAAATCAGCCGACCGGCGGCTTTCCCTTTGTCGAAGGGCGCTTTTGAAGAAAGACAACCCTTTTTCCTCAGACTTGCTGTTGCGCTGCAGGTCTTTGGTGGACACGCTTGGTGAACGCAGGCTAGTGACAGAGGAGCTACTGCTCGAACTCCTCACAGATTTCTTTTCAATCCTGTTGCTTTCCCCACTCTTAGAGAGCGAAGAGCGAGCTACTGAGCTGCCTCGGAGATTGTTGACCAGAGGGCTAGTGTGCATAGAATCTCTGCTGAAGCTCCTTTCCACCAGTCGTTTACGACTACTCAGAGTGCTTTTCTCTGTGACACTGGAAGTTTTATTTGCAGTTGGTGAGGGAGAAGCTGAGGACTGAGGTGTGGAGCCAACACATGGCTTATGTTGTGGCGTTGCGTCTAGAGGCTGAATTGCTGCCTTTGTTTTGGAGGGAGTCCCACTGGGTGTTGAGGTGTTTTTCTTAGCGTTAACACTCTTTTCTTTAGTATTGCTCACCTTCTTGCCTTTCACAGGTGTACTGGAAGACGTCTCAGGGGTGGAGATTTTATGGGATGAGCACAAGCGTTTTTTGGAGGTTTTCTCTTGCTCCACTTTGCTGGAGCTCTTTGTGGAGCCTGTGGTTTCAGCCTTTGAAGCAAACCCTCCGATGCTGCTCTTTCGTTTCTGTTCTTTGGAGGGCGTCGCTTGGGCAGGTAGTATGTTTTGGTCTATAGCTGTAATCTGGTTGTTGTTTTCAGTTGGCTCATTTTTGGTGCTTTTCTTTTCCACTGGAGTGGGAGCCCTGCAGTACGCCATGTCTAGGAGCCGCTTATTGTTGTCCTGGTCACTTAAGTTGCTCTCCATCATCGACAAGGGAGTCCTGCTGCCAAAGTAGCGTTCATGTCGACTATAGCTGCCAAAACAGGATGTGGAAACCTTGTCATCGCAGGCCTCTCCTATCCTTTCTAGAGGAGGCGAACATCGAGAGTCGAGGGAGAACCGCGAGGGCGAGTTGGATCTCATATGCAGCTTCGCAGAGAGAGACCAAGAGGGCTTTATCCCACTATCGCTGCAGGCCAAAGGACTAGCGATGGATGACCTGGAGGACAAGCTCTGACGCTGAATGCTCCTCACAAAAGGGCGGACAGAGAATCCTCCTAAAAACAGGAAATCATTTTAGAAAGAACTGCATTTTTTGTTAAATCCTCTACAGACACGCATACACAGCACTCCTGGCTGTCTGACTTATAGCTGGACTTAAAGTGCTGCAGGAAACCTTGAACTAATCCAAAATACAGCAACTTTACACCAACTGCTATTTCAACACTTCTCAAAATAAATCCTTAAATCCTTGTGATGTGGCATGGGAAAATAACATGAAACCCTGTTTTTCATTTCCCATTTTCATTTTTTCAGAGCTGTTTTAAATTTTTGGCAAAAGATATTGAATTAACTTATTACATTAACTTGTACATTTAAGTTAGTAGTTATTATTATTATTATTATTATTATTATTATTATAGTAAACAATGACTACTAATGATAAGTTGCTGCTGTAATTCAATATTTTGGAACTCAACATATAAAAAATGGCTGCATTGCAAAATGCATTACATAATTCAAATGTATTCTGAATTGAGAGATCTGTTAAAGCTGCAGTTAAACATCAGTTTGCCTGGCCAGCATTTGACGGACTATGCTAACCCTGTATTCTGGAGGGTTACATAAAGCCTACATTTATATTAACCACAAACTGCAACTCAAGCCACCATCGGCCTCACTTTGGATTCAATCTGAATTCAAGGTTTCTTACTCTGCAGAGCGCATTGTCTTGTTTGTCTTCTGTTTCTATCACGTACTAATGTTTTTGTTTTCTCTAAAGAATCTCCTTTCTGACTTAAAAAAAACCAAAAAACCTTACTTGCACCATTGCATACCAAGAGAAATATTGTTAGTGGAAGCAGAACTGCACTCTTGGTACAAAGATGTGGATCTTTGAAGACATTTCTTTTTATAATTTAGGTCTATGACAGATGGTCTGCTATGCATACATATTGTTGTTTTTTTTAGGTTTCTAGATTTAATTAAAAATATGTCTAGCGTTATTTAAAGTTCAAAAGCCTAAAGTTTAAAATATGACTCAGATATAACAGGAGTGTGCATTTTAATTAGAATGTTCCTGAAGCAGCAAGAACTACAGTCTGATCTGACATCTGTAATATAATTTAATAACAGTTAAAGGAAAAAGATATCAGCATCTGTCTCACCATCATCCTCACTGCGTTCGCCTGGAAACTCAACCGACTCGGCCAGTGAAGCCAGAGATGTGCGTCTGGACGAGGCTCCAGAGGCCAAGCTAGCAGGCCTGCTGCCAGGCAATCTGTTGATCCAGTGGTCGCACAGGGATGAACTAGTGGAACCTGTGTATAAGACAAACAAAAATTATTATTGAGAGACCTGATAAAGCAGTACTTAGTTATTTTCTTCAGATAATATGACCAATAGATCTGTGACATGTGGTAGCTGATGCATTAAAACCATATACAGTCTATGATTAAAACACACATTAAAATGCTAATTGCTCAGAAGCAGAAACATTTTTTGTTTCTCTCTCTATTATTCATCATGAAAGAAAAACCTTTTGCCACAGTGTAATATACCTTGGGGCTATGTTCATGCAAATACTGCATTACAATTACACTATGCATTTGCACGTGTTTTCATGAGTGGAAATACAGCAGGAAATAAATACTGACCAGCAACAGAGCTGTTGGCCGACCAGGAGGGAATGACTGTCCTCCTCTGGTAGAAGAGTATATAGGCCGTCTGCTGACACACGTCATCGTCAGCTACTGGGGAAACCTCACTGTCATCAAAGCAGTACCACTGACCATCAATGGAGTTCTTGCAGTAAGCTACAAACAAAGACCAGTGAGATGATGAGCCAAAATGTCCTGATAACTTTTATATATCAACTCGATACTGCTAAAACTCTGTATTACCAGTGTAGTGGCCTCCGTGCATATTCCCATGATGGTTGCACACAGCATACAGGTCATAAAGGTAGTCATCAGGGTTTCTTCCCAGGCCATAGGGTCTCCTCCATGGTGACCAATGGGATGGTAAACTCCAGCTGCTCTGACTCCTCTTAACCACATGAGGTGCCATGTCCATACCCATCAATGGGAACCGCACCATGTTCTGCATCTTTACCCTTCGGTCCCCCTCCTTAAAGACAGCACATGAGAAACAGAAAAACAGATCAGCATTTCAGGAGCAATCCTCATCTACTTGTTAATTTTAAGTTTATTCCCAAAATAAGAAAAAAGACATGACCTCAAGTGCCCATTGTGCAAAAAGTAATTGTTCTTGCTCTTGATGATCACAGAGTCAAATTTTTCTAAAATGAGCTGAAGTACCTGTCTGAACCTCTTGAGATGCAGAATGAGTACGTCCGGCAGCGTCCACAGGCTGAGCTTAATGCGGCCCTGCTGCAGCTGCTTGCAGTGGGGACAGCGCCAGGCATCGTCTGGAGCCAGCTGAAACACACACATGCACCAATCAGCAGCCATCAAGGACGAGCTCTGACCACACTGCTTATAAAAGGAGGCCCCGAGCTTTCCACTTGCTCCTCTCCGGTCTCCTCTAGAACATTCGCAGGCGAGTTAAACCACCATGTATGTGTAGAATCATACATGCTCAGAATCCAGGCATAGCATTAGAAGTCAAATAAATGGCAACATTCAGACAAGGGAAAGGCTTTTGAAACTTTAGTAGAAGAATAATAAACCATCAGGGAGGAGACAAATGTGAGGCTATACTTCAAAATATACCACTGATATGAGCAGAGGCAAACCTAAGATTTATTTTATCCTGTCAAACTACTGACCCTGCAGTAATGGACTGTGTGTATTAGTATGCGTGTACCAGCCATATGTCTGATGGAAATGTTACCTGCTCCTCCTTCGTGTAGAGCTGGAAGCACTGAGCTAGGGTGCAGGCCTGTGGCTGGTGATGATGTTCTCTGTGCAGATACACACTCTCAGCATCGGGAATATACTCCTCCTCAGTGTGTCCAAACAGACTGTAGGAGTATGAAGCACAGTCATCCAGTCATTCAACAGCTTAGTCATGTGAGGATTCCTTTATCTGAATTAATTATTTTTACAGATTACAATAAATAACCTACATTTTGATGTTAATGCTGTGAAACTGTGAAGTTTGAGAAGTGCAGCAGCACTAAAAAAGGCTTTGAATGGCATCACAGATACCTGCACAAACACTTAATGCAGCGATACTTTCAAGCTTGTTCAGGCTGCCAACTCGAGCTGCGCTGCTGTAATCATGTGACATACCTCAATCTCCTCAACCCTCTATAATACACACCCTCCCAATATGGCCGTCTATTTGAGCTACAAAGATTTCCCATAGCTCCCTTTGCTTTTCAATGCCTCTGCTGCCCTGCATCCGTAATGCTGCCTGTTGAGTCAGTCCCTGTGTGTGTGTGTGTGTGTGTGTGTGTGTGTNGTGTGTGTGTGTGTGTGTGTGTGTGTGTGTGTGTGTGCGCGTGTGTTAACCACACAACAGAGTAAATAGCTTAGTGGGGAAATAAGAGCAGAAGTGTTGATTGTGTAGGTGGAACTGCAGACATTTTTATATTACAAAAACTAATTGTGTGAAGAAGAGAAAGTGGGAGGTACAGATCTACTAAACCACCTTTTGTTAAGTTTGATGTGTTGCAGTATGTTGTTGATCAGAAATCAATGAATCAGTGACTGTTAATATACATTTTAGTGAAATGTTGCCACACCTTCGATTGTAAAAGTGTCTTTAACAGATAGAGGAAGGTGCAGTGAAACGTGTGCAACTTTGTGACTGTGGCAAGTTGTTGACTTCAGCCAATAAGCAGTGACTTAATGTTGAGAAACAGGTGTGAAGGTTGGATGACATGATCAAATTTGGCAACTTTTTGGCAGTGTGTTCTGACTGACTCTCCACTGGTTTTTTTCTGTCTCTATCATGACGGACACATATTAGAGTTAGGTCGATGGCCACCAGTCATTATGATATCGAGGAGTGAATATTGATCCCAATTTAGATTAAAACAAACAAATGTCTAAATGCAGCTTCCTTAAATTGTGTGTAGATGCAACAACACAAGAGACAGAGTATGAATCTTTGTCACTCACTAGTCCTTCGTCTCTTTGTCCCACTCTACCACTATCTTCACATGTGGTGGTCCTCCTTGTCCACAGGACTTGTACGCTCTGTAACAGAAACAAATTCAGTTATTTTGACAGGTATGATTTATAAATTTGGTTTCATACCTTTGTCATCTGTCACTGTGGGCTCAGAAAAGCTTTTGTGGTTGCGTGCCTCACAATGTACAGGCGATTAAAAACGGGTCAACGTGTGGGGATAAAAATTCATGATTTGGTTCCTCTTAAAGAACTGAAGATAAACATTTCTGCTGCTGTTTATTTTGTAGCAATATGATTGTGTTTATAACAGACAATAACGTTACATACAAATCATTTCAGTTGTTATGAAAACACCTATTATTCGTTCATAGCAATAAACAAACTATGACTTTACTTTGCTCTTCCTTAAAGTTGTGTGAATCAATGTTGTGACTTGCTCTTTCATTGGGAAATTAGTTAGGTTAGAGGCCAAACGTGCTAAACTGGCATGTTAACAAACTGTCAAAAATCCTGTTAGGGCATGTCATCCAACCAGGTCTCTGAGAGAATCAGAACTAGCGTACGTGGATTTAATTGAGACCTCACCCAGTTACCCTGCAAGATTATCTCATCCTTTGTGTTCATATGTGCAAACAGTGTTTGCTTTGTTTTCTGTCAACATCATTTCACCTTTCTTTCACTGACATTAATGCTGAGGATGCAGTGGGGAAACACACAGAATCAAAAATAGCTTGGAAGAGGAAATTTACCCCTACAAAAAAAAACATCACATAGTTTTGCTTAAGTTACTGTACTACTACACCACAAACAATCTGATTGTACGCACTGGTGTCAAATATCTTTTTGTGTTTTTGTTTGGCCACATCACACTGGATTAAATGTCTGGCTGGATCTGATTAGACTTTGTAAAAGGAAAAATAAAAAGGTATATTTGCCAAGAAATATGTGAATCATGCAGACAGTTTTTTCAACAGAAATGAATATGAAATGTATAATGTAAATGTTACAAGAGGTAACATTGTTTGAACTGCAATATAACTTGGTCATACACCTAGCCCCAATTAAGCAACAAACACAAAAGTCATAAAATATCCAAACTCACCTTTCCACAGTTGGGTGACACAGTGGTCGCTCATCTTGGGGAAGGAGGTAGGTTATACCAACAACGCCAACCACCCGAAGACTGAAAGGTCCCACCTGCGCGAAGAGACACCATTTTTTAATAAATCTGTGAGACCAGTACATTTGACAGAGGTGACATTTGTTGTTCTTTTCAGTTTAGTTTGTTGCTCCTCTACCTGAATATAAACCCCAGGCCTCAAGAGATGACGCATTTTCTCCAGGATCTCTTTTTGTAGACCATCCCAGGTCACAGTGCGCTCCATGTACAGTACAAAAGGCAGGCCGAACCTAAAACCACACCATGCAAGTTGTCAGTTTCTCCATTAGGCCTTAATTGTGTTATATTGATAGCCAAATCTTTATGATTTATAAGAAAAGGAAATGTGTTTAATATCCGCGGTCAATCGCAGAACAGAATTAATTTGGATAGTTGTACCTCTTTCCTTGGTGACCAGTACAGGCTCTGTTACACACCAACAGGATAATTTTTTCAGGTCCAAGGTTTTTATTGGGTGATGCAGTAACAGGAGTCATGGCCCCCTGCATGAACGATGAAGTCCTGCTGATTTCAGTCCCATACTTCAAGTTGTTATGGTTCAGGTTTGCAAGGAGACTTCCTGTGATAAGATTCAAAAGGAAAGTCTGGTTAGATTCTGTTCCAATAGTTTAATTTGAAAACACAGAACATTTGCGAAATATGAAGAAAGCGTCACCTCTTTTTGTGCGTAAATTTTCCAGTTTGAAGGTCTCTGGTGTCTCAAAGGCAAAGATGGAATCGCTCTCTTGAATGATCTCAAGATCATCGTCGTCATCACAAAACGAACGATGGAAACCATCATAGTACATTTCAGTCAAAACAAACTGAAAAAAAGAAGAAACATAAATCAAAAAATATGTACCACTCCAATAAGAAATGGCTTTTCCATTATTATTCCAAATAAAAACAGAGACATCTCAAAAACACTTCTTATCCCACCTTTGCTGTCAGTGACATTTACCCTCATGGCATTTTCACCCTTTTGCTTTTCATCAATGTTAGCACTCAGTCGTCGCTGCCCTCAGGACAAATGTGTATATAAAATCGGTTATTCTCCAACAGTGTATTGAGCTCCCTCTAAGAGAAACCTAGCTTTATAAGAAACTGGTGGAACCTCGCTGTGTGACTGTAAAAAAGTCTCACTGTGGCAGACCCTGAGCTGATAAGTGATAGAAATGTCACCTGGTCCATTGGGATCTTGGTCTCACGTGACACAGCATCTCGGAGGCGATAGACGGTGCTGTTGAGGGGAACAGCAACTCCAATCCTCATACAGTGAGAGTACTTCCCCTGGTAGACCACTGTCACATACAGGGGCCTGGCAAAGAGAGGGTAATCATGAGGTTTACTTGAGAAGTATTGCTTATCTTTATTAAACTGTAACCATAAGAACAAAACAAAAACAAAGATTTTGTAGTATTTCTTTCCTTTTTATTCCCTGCACTGCACAAAAGCCTAAAAAAACATGCTGTTATTTTGCTTTCAAAATTTAGTTTTTTTAGTCTGGTAACATTTAACCTGTGCCAAATATTTATTCAAGAACAATTTTTGTTAACAGAACCACAGAGTGTGTTTTAAATATTGTTTTGGTTGTCTGTGGTTTATGTTTTATTCATGAGGATATTTTAATATCTTTTAACTCTTTTACAGGGTGTACTTGCATGATTATGCAATAATATAATAATTATACGCATAAGTGGTTCAAAATGGTTGAACTCCATGGACAGACCTGCGTTAATATTTGGGAAATCAGTGGCGATACCCAGCCCTAGTTAAGAAATTACCAGTAATCTATCTCAACATCACTGCCAAAACAGATTACATTCTAACCACACACACAGGTTTTTGCTTGAGGCCCTTGTAAATTTGTTAACACATCAATGAAAGGTGTCGCCTTGCTGAAGAACGTCTACACACTGTGTTTGCTTATATAGTAGAAAAGGAAGCAGAACAAACATATAGCACATTTTTGGAAAGCTGTAGCTCAGCTCAGGTGGGCACTCACCTTGTGTGTGGGAGTGGGATCGGTAAGGAGATGCAGAGGAAGGGATCGAATGTATTGCTCTGCTTTTGGCAATGTGGGCAGGTTAGAGACGACCTGTTTGGAAAAATGTAATCTGTTATGCACAGCTAATAACATGGGCATACTGTAAAATATTTATATCCCAGGCCAATAAAACCTACCTGTACTGAGCCTGGAACAGTTCTTGTACGAACGACCCAGCAGAGAGAGGTAGAGAAGGCTCTTCTATGCTTTGATCATCTTCTTCGATAGGGGGCTAAACAAACAGGTTTTACGAGTCGTATTTAAAAGTCAAGAAAAAAAAACTACTGTCAGGGTTCATAATCTGGCATCAAAGCCTTCACATGCTCTGTTGTAAATCACTCATACCATGGAATCAAGAGGAAACAAGACGAGGCAAGTCTGGTTTAACTGCACTGTGAGAGCAACTCATTCGTGAGAAACACTGAGTCATAGAAATGATTTAAACACCTGTGAAATAAAATGCAATGCAGCAAAATAAAGGTGTGTGTGGGACTGAGCAACTTGGGAATAGTATTGATTCATCAACACAACCACACACAATGAATATGTTTCAATAAAAAAAGAGGCGATTAGAGGAGCCCTCCAACAAACACACACCAGACATTTTTATTCACCTTTATAGCAGGCCTGCTGTTGGGGTTGACTGTGTTGAGGTCCTCATGCACTCTGTCCAGCAGCCACAGCAGAAACTCCTGAGCGTCATGCTGAGAGTTCCCTTTAAACTGTGTGGCATTTTTTGACACCGCGTTCTGCAACGAAACGTGCGACCCAAAGGTTACAATGATTTCTAGGTCACACACTATCCAGATTTATCCTCAATACATGATGATTCGTTAGCAGCAGCAGGAAATGTGTCATTTTCATCCACACAGGGTTCATGTGAAGAATCATCATGTAGATAGTGTGTTTACCACCAATGACATTTTAATAAATTATAATCGTTAAAATTATTCTTTACTGAATTTACTTTATCTAATCCTGCTGTGAATTTCTTCTCTAAATTAATAAACACTATACATGAATTCGTAACACGCAAATGAATTTGTTTTTGTTCAAATTAAGGTTAAAAAATAATAATTTGAATTTCAGGCATAGTATTAAAACCTTTTAAGTGTAATTAGTTTGTGTGTCACCTGAGGTATTTTCTTTTATTCTTAATGTCCACTTGCCTGGTGTGACCATTCATGACTCTTACCTTGAAGTCTCTGCTGTGCTGTGGGGTGTATTCAAACGTCCATAAAGCCCGCACAAGTCCAGACAGCTGCTCCGTGACCTCTCCTTTGGCCAGGGGACCCTTCCTCTGCAGATGTAAGCCATTTGTCTTTGGTTTGTCCTCGTCCTCGTCGTCCTCACCTTTGTAGTGCTCCAGAACCAGGTACTCAGCGAAGAGTTCAGTGTTGCTGAGGCACTGCAGGATCGCATTCATGAAGCAGGTATTCCCGTGGTTTTTGAGCCCTGACACTCCAGGGACCCTCTCTCCCGACAGGAAACCCCCCATGTCCCCATCGTCCATGGGCACATCCTTGCTCCCAGGTTTGAACGTGGAAAACCCTCCATCGTCCTTGTCATCCTCTGCTTGAACTTCAGATCCAAAGTGGGACAAGGCTGTCAGGGTCCTCAGAAACCTGCTCACGAAACTGCCCACGGATCGCACAGAGCCTCGCCTGAACAGCTTCTTGCTGAAGCTCGACTTCTTGTCCTTTGCGGCTTTGCAAGACATGGTTTCTCTGTGACAGGCGAACAAGTCAAATATCTGTGATGTGCAGAGCGAGTTCCATCACAGCGGCTCCCACATGCAGCTCCATCTGTGAATGTTTAAACAGCAGTAACACCGACGAAGTAACGTCAAAGACGTGAAAACGAATATCAGCTGGCGGTCACATTTTAATCGATGTCTCCTCTTACAACGCACACATGCAGCAGATGTTTCTTCTCACGTGTAAATGAACGTCAGCATTTCGTGCACCACAAGCTAATACACCAACTGAGACCAGTTACGTAAAAAGCGTTAGCATTTCTCAGGTCGGCTGCTAATGTCCGCAATTCGCTCCACTGTTACCTTGTTTTTTTTTTTTGCGGTTCAACTTCCTGCCCCGCAGCAATGAATCAACATCGGGTCTGTCGGGAGCGAAGACAGCGGTGATAGCTAACCTGGCTAATGCTAATGCCAGGTACAATAACAAAAGCCGCAGAGACAGCGACAGTCTCCCTCAGCGAGCGTGTCCACGTTCAGCAGGAACAGAGTCCACCGTGATGTGCAGCCACCTCCAGCTGAAGGAAAGAGCGAGTCCGACATGAAGTCAATCTCACATTTCTCACATATTTGGAGGCACTCAGGCTAAAATACCACATATCGTTTTCACTTCTTCTTCTTCTTGTTTGTGTTGGCAGCTGGTCGGCGAGTTCGCAGCTACGCAAGCGCCTCCTATCGGACTGGAGTTAGTGCAGCAGCCTGTCTGTAATCCGCTACGAGCATTCAAATATTATATTATATTGCATTATACTGCATTATAATAATGGTATTTAAGCTGTGCATACTGTCTAATGTCCCTTTTAAGAATAAAGCTTAACTTTCAGGAGGTAGCACTTGGTCACCAGAGTCAAGACAGTCAAGAGTATGAATTACAAAAAAGATAATAGATCACACTAATTAGCCTAAAATAACGATATTAGGTGTCATATGCTATAAATAGAGTGATCCCTGAAACAGACTTTTTTTGCACTTATTATAATAAGTGTGGCTCATGGAGTTTAACCTGGGACACAAACATTACTCTGAAAATAACAGCCTTTTTCCCATTATAAAGTGTATTGTAGAAACTGATCATTTAAATGCACCACTCTAAAACCAAAGTGCACTATCCTGCTCAGTAAACAACTTTTTAAGACATGTATTGCTGCTTTTCATATGTAGGCTCAATATTTGTTCTCTAAAAGACAACAGCACATGCTGCATAATACCAGAGGCAGCCACAACCTGCCCTGAGTCATTTCACAGCTGAATACTTTGAGTGAAACTGTGGAAGATCGGCAAGCAGCATGTTTTGTAGCTGTTTCAAGTATTAAAATGTGGTGATGATGCTGCTGTGAAAGATATTAACAAGCTATCTGAGGTTTAATTGAAAATATATATGTTTTTAAAGGTTTAAAAGCAGGGGGCAAACAGTATAAAAATAAAATGGCTCTTTGTCAGTTTGCTCTTCTGCCTGAAGGAGGCACAAGAGTCATGAGAAATGAAGAAGACACTGAGGTAAAGGATATAGACTGCATGATCTACATGTACAAAGAGGTGTCTTATTTTTTGAGTACCTCATACACTTATATGTACATGTACTGCATTTATGCACGTACGATCACGCTATAGTGATGTGTCCTTACAGTATGTATGTATTTATATGTTTTTATGAAGTATAATCACTTCACTGTCCACATCTTTGCACGTGATTGTTTGGAGTCACAGGATATTGCTGTCTTGATGCCAGGGTATGTGCGATGGACTCAAAGGGGTGAGAGCATTTTAACCAAGATGAATCATCCTTCTGATCATCACAAGTTTCCTATTTTTAAGTAAGTGTGTGGAGAAGACGCAAATAAAGGAGGAAATACACCCACAGCTATCACACGGACAGTTGGTCTTAATAATGCCAAACTAAGCTTATTTGAAAAATAACATATGGATTTTGCACTTTTCTTTTTAAGTCTATATAAGGTCAGACATTATAGATTCCTCACCCTTTAAATACAGAACAACACAACTGAGTTTAGAAATGGGAAAACAGTGATTATATAATCCATAAGGTAAATACTGTCAACCACAGGATGAACGACCTGCATTTTGACTGGCTCAGTCAGAGAAGGAAAAAGTGGTCAAAAGTCACGTGCATTTTGAGTTTTAGACATTATTAATTTAAAGGTTCAGTGTGTAGAGTTTAGTGACATCTAGTGGTGAAGTTGCATGTTGCAGCTGAATTCCCCTCACCTCACCCTCCCCTTCCAAACATGAGAGTTTACCTGTGGTAAACGTCAGTTGTCATAAAAACTCAAAAGCTGTTCAGTTTCCACTACTGTAAAAAATAGCGGCCAACATAGAGAGGACCCGCTCCCAATGTAAATATGAAGTATTGAAATATAAAGGGGCTATTCTAGGGTAATGAAAACAACAATTCGTATAATTTAGATGAAACACACTGAAAACATCACTAGGATTATTTCATATTCAGTTTCTGCCAATAGATCCCTTTACATTCACTTTAATCTTACAAACTGGACCTTTAAATGATGACACCATCGCTCGCAATTTAAACTTCTGACATTCAGTCAGCACCAGGTCCTCTGAGGCTTTTTGCAGCTCCCCAGCAACACAACAAAATGGGTCAAATCCGAGTGGGTGCATTTTTTGAACCTGTCAGCACTTCTCCAAATTCCAATTTACATAATTAAAACCATCGAGAACAAGCTGATTCCCTCTGTGCGCTGCTTTGTGCAGCCCTGACTTCTGATGAACACGCTGATGAACGTGGTCTTTGAGAGTGTTCAGAAAATCACATGGTTAAATAATGCAATCGCAACGGATAAAACAACAAGATGTGTGAAATACGCCTCTCTTCACTGCTGACAAACATCTCTCATATTCTCTAGAGAGAAGAGAAAAAGGAGGGGACTGACTCATATCGTCAATAATAAGACAAATGGTTACAACAAGTGACTGAAATAACCTTTGACTGACTCAGAAAATTTGACTTGGCTGTGATTCAGATGAAATAAAATGCAGTGGCTTGACATAGATTGGTGGATAATTTACATAATATATAAATTAGTAAAACAAACAAAAGGTATTTTTTAATACATCAACTGTAATAGTTCCATTAGATCGTAGGACTTTAATCAGGTCGAGTGAAAGATTCAAAAGTCGCTTTTGATTTTCACTGTCGTAACCAAATCTTTCGCTTGTTATTCGTCGTCGACACATCAAGCAGTCGGAGCCAGCTGGGGAAGTTCTCTAATGATGTGACCATGGAAACAAGGCAAAGGGTCACATGTGTCTTATCTCTCAATATGGGAAAAGCCTTCTGCTTGAATTTGCTGAAAATGGTGTCAAACCATCTCTGAATCAGAGTGGTTCTTCTTGTTTTTTGTCCTTTTGTTTTTCCTCAGATGTGCTTTAGATAAGGTTTCTGATGTAATTCTCCAGACTCCAGCTTTGGATTGGATGGCAGATGGTTGTTTGTATTATTTACAGCTCAGGAGCCGCTCTCAATTAGAGAAATTTCATTCTATTAACCTTTTTTTAACTTTGTTTAGTATAAGATAACAAACAAAGTTAAAAATAAGTAACTGACGCTGTTTATATCATGACCTGACGAAGGACCAACCATTGATTAGCACCGGCTTTGAACTGAAAACCAGTGGATGTGGGATTGATTGTGAATGCTGGGCTGCAGTTAATAATACCCTGAATGCCTTTGTGTTTACTTAATGTGCAACTGAAGTGTTGAATGATTGTTTTGACCTTCACAAAAAGGCCCAAATCAACCTTTTCAGCAATCTACTGAAAGAATTTGCACATTGTTCCCATAAACAGATTTGATCTCATCTAACCTGGATATGTTAAACCAATTTCCCATTTAGTCATTTGTTTAAATTGTTTCACATCCCATATTGAGTGATTCAGAAATTCCTATTATGTAGATCATGGGTAAACAGTGATGAGGGAACTCCTGAATTGCAGGATGCTGACAAGCTTTGACTTTGTTGATGCTGATGAAGGGATCCATTCGAGTTTTCCGCTTGGAGACAACTGCAGCTCCCGTTATAATGGTCACGTGTGAAATCATTTCTGTGCTTAGAGAGACACCTCTCCCCTGCAAGCATGTAATTAATGCTCCTGTGTCTATTTAAAGCTTCCGTGCACATGCCCTTCCTCTCGCATGTCCTAACGTGCAAACAGACAAGTGAGAAAGTGCCCGACACGTCTTTCAATATGAGGGTCCTCGAACATCATCTGGTCAGTCTTATTTGCATGTGCTGTAAATATCACTGTCAGAGTGTCATTCTACCAAGCACTGATGCAGAACACATTGTCACAACAGGTGTCAAAGCAAGGACTTTAGTTTATCTCTGTACTAATGATGTGTTTTAACACATATGATTTACTATTTCAATCACATCTGATTGACTATTTTAATTGCCTTTCATTTACTATTTTTGGTTACCGTGGTTTGCTTATTAGGTTATGGTATATGACATCAACATTGTGATTAATGGTGGACGTGCTATAAAAAGTAAAACAGGCTTTATGGTCTCTCTGGTCTATTAACCTACATTTAAAGGTAGTAAAATGATTTGTGTTTGTGACATTAAATTATTCACACACATTCTAAAGTATGATCAAATTATTAATGACAATAAATGTGTGTATATATTAAACCAAACCTATATTTATTCCTACATTTAGTTCATCTCTCTCTTTAGTCTCTTCAGTCTCTCTCTTTCCCGCTCTGGATGGAGGGATGGATGGATGAACATTGTTATTGATTATTGTTAGAGTCACTCTTTGTATATTATTTAGAAACTATGTAAACATTGCACTGAATATATAAAGTCTTTGTGTTTTTTTTCTGTTTATGCTCAGACTGCTTTCTGTGTAAAGTCAATGACTTCCTGTCTTCTGAGTATTATGAATACATATATTTAAGTCCCCTTCATGTGTTGCTTGGAAATAACTAACGCTAGTGTTTGAGCTCATTAAGCAGAACATGTACACTGATGGCAGTGGGACAGACAGTTGGACCTTGTTCACCTTTGCAGCTGAAAGGATTTTTTTCTCAGCAACATCCCTCAGCAACAGTCAAATGATGCCTTCAGGTACACAATGTAAACTCAGTCTTTTCTGTCCCCCTGTCCCTGGTAGGAAGTAAGCTGATCATTGCATGAACCAAACAAACCAAATAAAAGAGATACTGCTATGTGGTTTGTTTATAAAAAATAATATACACTCCCAGAAAGCAACTTTTAGTTTAGTTTAGTTGTATGTATGGCGTGACAGCCATCTATTTGCTGTGTATTATTTTATTTTATTTCTTTTTTCTGTTTACACTGTATGCGTCAGTTATATTCCTTGGTTTATATTGCATATTTACTTACTGATTACTTTTAAGGATGTCGAGTTTTGACTGGTGTCTTTGCTGCTGCACCAGAGCTAGTTTACCCTTTGTGGAACCAATAAATAATACATAAATGGTCTGTATAGCACACTAATAGTCTGACCACTCAAAGCATTTTACAGTAGTTTTGCCATGCACACTACAGTGTGCGGAGCACTTTCTCTATCTTAAATCAATCATACAATGCCGGCACAGCTGTCTGAGACAATTTGGGGTTCAGTATGTGGAATGGGTTAAACGGGGATCGAACTGCCGACCTTCTGGTTAGTGGACTCTTCCTCCTGAGTCATAGCCACTCTAAGTTAATAAATCTTATCTTGTCTTAATTCTCACATTTATGTTACTAATCTTTACACTGGACTATATAGGGTTACAATAAAACACATCAGGCCAAGTTAAGGATGGCTTTTCATTGAGAAACAGCAGTTAGTGACTGATTACTGCACCAATAAGCTAATTCAAATGGTTTGAATAACAAGTGTATGATCCAGGTAAGGAGGACGAAGGGATGAGGGAACAAGGATGAAGGCATGTGTGCAGGGAAGAGGGAAGGAGGATAATTGGATGGGGGTAGGGAAGGGATGAGGGAACGAGTATGAATGGATGAGGGATGGAGGGTGAAGGGATGAGAGGTTAGGGAGGAGGGTGAATGGATGAGTGTACCATTTAACATGTTTCTTCTTTTCTCTTTCTCAGGGGGAGTGAACCGGTGTCGTGCCGTCCACTCGCAGTTGCGATATTTCCGACAGCAGCAGAGGGCGGTGAAGTAACCGCCGCACTTCCTGTGACCATATTTGGCGCGGGCATTGGCGGCGCGTGAGCCCAAGAGACATTTCCGCGGACTAATCGGAGCTTTGTGTCTCCTCGTGCATCACAAGAAACAAAACACCGAGCGATCGTTGTTGTTTCCACAGAAGTTGAAACGCGACAGAAGAAACACGCTTCTTCTTCTTCTTCTTCTTCTTCCTCCTCCTGTGAGCCCGCACATCCACTGATCCAGTGATCCTGACATCAGAGAAACCTTTCACACCGGAAAACTGCTCCAGAGACACAGGTGAGCTGAGGAGCTTCTCTCCATCCAACAGCAGCCCTGACCACATCTGGATCTTTAAACTCATATTTGTACACATGCGTCAGCTGCTCTGACGCTGTCAATGTGAAGGCTGCCTCAGATGCACCTGTTGATCAGAATCCACAGTAGTTGGAAATCAATGGAATCCAGACCTTTTTATTGAGTCTAAAGTTCTATAGGTGATATGAAAGAATGTCGGATTAATGTGTGATGGGTCTCCTGAGGGGGGTTTCAGACCTGATCCACTTTTCTGAGAGGAAATATTCCTCTTGCAGTTTCTTAATCTGTCGACCATAGTGAAAGTTCATCATAAACATCCACAACATGATGCTGGAAACCCGATCAGTAGCTTTAACTTGTACCACACACACACACTCACACACACAC